GGGCCTTCAGGAGAGGGAACAGCATGTGGCACAGAGTAGGAAAGAGCATATAAGCAGTAAGAGTAGAGAGGGGGAGTGTTTAAGGTATTGAGGACAGCAAAGGTTAGGCTTCAAAAGGCAGGCAAGAGTCGGATGATGAAAAGGTCTGGTGTGTTCAGCAGGGGGTGTGGTGTGTAGGGCTTTATCCTGTGGGTGATGAGAGCTGTTGAAATGGAAAGAGGAGGATGTTCCAGGCCTACCTCAAGGTACTTAGCTCCTGAATCCTGTCGCTCAGCAAACCTGCAAGTTGGCTTTTTAGTCTGTGTGGCCAGGCTCTGTGAGTTTAAGTGGTTGACACAAGCTGAGTTGGCCATTTAGATGGAGACCATCCTTCTGAATGATAGGTGTGTCTAGCTTAGGGGGGTCAGGAGGGGGTGCCTCCCCTCTGTCTCCTCTCCAGAAGCACATCCCTGTGGCCTCCCTGGGACTCAGCCCCATCCTCTGGCTCCCATGTTGCCTCTCAGCAGCCCTAGCCCTAACCCCAGCCTGGCACCCTCCAGAGTTGGGGGGAGTCTGTGGCTAAAGGGTTAACATGTCTAGAACTTACTCCCCTGGCTGCCTCTTGGCCAAGCCTCAGTCCTTGTCAAAGTTCACTACCTCCCAGACACATATGGCCTTTGATGCCGCATTCCCACGTTTAAGGAGCCAGATTCCCTCCCAACCTGCCAGGGCCCCTGTCTGCCTCCAAACCGCCTGTGTCCGGGGTGGGCACGGTGCCTCTGCTATTGGACGGCATTGATTTTCCTCCATGACAGTCGGTCATCACTGCTTCGGGTAATGTATTTTAATGAATTGTTATCCTGCTGGACGTGGACTCAAAGGACTTTTTATCGTGAAGGGTCCCATCCTGAAAACCTTAATAAATCAGCCACAGTTCAAATCAGGCCTGGTGCTGGACAGGGAGGAGTCTCTCCTCGCCGAGTCATCGCTAAGGAGCCTTTCTCTTGCCGTCTAGCAGGCTGCCACCCTTCAGCCTTCATGGTTGGGCCTCCTATCCTGACATCTACATAATGAGACCTCCCCACTTGACACTGGTGAGGGAACCAGGGTCCTTAACCTCAGCGCTGGGTCAGGGCTTCTTAAGATGTGACCCACCATGTGCGCCAGGACCCCACAGAGCTAGTTAACATGCCGCTTCCTGGCCCCGCCCCAGACCTATGAGTAAAAACCTTTGGAGGTCAGGCCCCAGACTCTACATTGTCTAACAAACCCCAGAGGAGATTCTCATGAACAGCAGAATTAGAAAACACCTGCCCTCAATCCATATCTCAGCATCCCATGTTTATTTCTTTCGTTCTTTTTGAGGTGGATGGGCTGGACGCGGCTTTCCTGCGTTCTGGCCTGTGCTGTGCTTCTGGCCCCATGCGCTCTCCAGCAGCTCACTGGAGGGAGCCTGGGGAGCAGGTCGGCATCCAAGTCAGCTGGGGATTTTCCTCAGAGCTCTCCAAAAGCATGACTCGCACAGCTGGATTACGGCCGCCCTGGATAAGGGCTCCTTGGTGCAGTGGAACTCAGCATTGAGGGTGGAGTCCCGGGCTTGGAGTAGCTGCTGGGAGGCACTGGGAGACATATTCAGGGAAAACAAGTGGAGCCGATTGTGGACTTGTCAGCTTCCCTAGAGAAGTGGGCAGGGAGACGGCCATGTGACGGGCTGGCCAGGCTGGCACGGCTTGGGGCCTGGGAGCTTGCTACCCGGGCCTGTCTAACTTGTGTTTCCCCTGCAGTGTATCCCCCTATTCCATTGTCATCCATGCCAGTACCCATGGCCCCAACTAGGCAGGTTCCTCCCTCTACCCGCTTTTACTGTTGTCTTCTCATCTGAGACAATTTTTACCTGAACTGGCCATTCCTGGAATCTGCTGGGATTGGAGATGGATCTGGTGGCCCTCAGCTTTAGAGCCCTCACCCCCCTCGAAGCTCCCTCTCTTCCTTCCCCAGTCTTTCTCACTCCTTCTCCTTGCTCTACCGGCCCCTCTCTTTTGCCCTTCCTGCCGTAATAGATTGAAACCAACCTTGTGTTCCGGCTTCTTGTGGTCCTGGTAAATAGCTCTTAGCGTGGCCGTGGTGGATGGGGAGAAGGTGTGGGGAGCAGGGGCACTTACCTTCCTCTCTGATGGGAGGAGCAGGGGTAGGTGCTCCACAGGTCCTGCCCATGCACTGCGTTAACAGCAGAGCCCTCTCAGGGCCTGGACAGACCCAGGACTGGTCTGCCCTTAGTTTCTCCCCTTGGTATGCAAAGGAAGATGATCAGTGAAGGCTACAGAACAGCCTGGAGCATTCGGCCAGCACTGGGTGACCAGGAGCTGCTAGGCCCTACTTTGAGGGCAGAAATCGACCTTTTCATGTGTATTAAGCAAACAGGAGTTAATTACACTATTTACACATCTTCGATTTTCTTCCTAAGCCTTAGTGGCCTGGCAGTTATCATTCCTGACCTTGTTGCTGCACACAGGAGCCCATGTGGGGATAAATTACACGGCAGAATCCGTTTAATATTGACATTTTCAAAATCAATGAAGAGTGGGGCCTGGCCAGCAGGGCCAGGATATCAGGTGATGGGAGTCAGTGTGAATTCTGCCTCCCAGCCTCAGGGATGCTTTCTTAGCTCTTCTGCCAAAACCTCTTCTTTTGTGCTCCCAAGGGAAGTGCTGGATTGGGTCTGCTTTCTCCCGGAAGGAGAGAGGACTCTCAGATTTGCACCCAGTGCTCTCTTTGCCTTCTGTGTAAGTGTAAATGGGAAGGCATGGGACACCCCATCCTTTGCTTTGTTGCTTTCCCCACTTCCCAGACCAGGCAAGCAGGGACTTGAGGGTTTGGGGGTGTAGGGTATGGTGGGTACCCCTGGCTTGGGAGGAAACACTCTGGCATCTCATGGTGTGGGCTGCCGAGTGGGGCCCAGGCCCGGGAATGGGCCTGCTTCTGTGGGGTCAGCAGCTTTCTAGGCACGGAGAGGAGAGACAGCCCTTCAGACTTCCACTAACTGGTATGAGGGGCCCATCCTCACGGGAACCACCCCCAGAAATCTGAGTGGATGCGAGGCTCCTGTCTTTAGTATTTTTCTCCAGAAACAGCTTGCTGGAGGCTCTGCTTTTTTGTGTAGCAAGGCACCCAGTTCTTTGGAGAGTCAGGCTCTCTCATCTGCCAGTGTCAACCCCTTAGGGGTGTGGACAGACGAGCGGGAGAGGCAGCTATGCTTGCAGTGGCCTCTTAGCAGCCTGCAAGGGGTCCCAGCACAAGGCACAGGTTGCTGGACTTTCAGACCTATCTCAGCCCAAACCCCTCTCCCACTCAGACCAGCCCCGTCCCCGTGAGCCCTGTGGCAACACTCTGGCCAGTGTCACTTGGGTTCTGCTGCTGGCCTGGGTGTGTGTGTATGTGTGTGTGTGTGTGTGTGTGTGTGTGTGTGTGTGTGTGGACGATGCTTGCCGGGCATCTCTGCGCTCCCACTCTATCGGTGACATCATTTAGTTGGCCTGTGGTTTGTGTGTGTGTGTGCCGATCAGGATGTTCCTGTTTTGTGGTTGTCTGACCACTTGTTTTTGGCCATGGGTTTCTGTATGAGTATTTATTTTTAGAGGTTGCCACTTCTGGCCCCAGGGCTGATCTGGGGGCATGGGAGGAGCTTGTGTTTTCTGAAATGTTTGTGGCTTTAAATTTAAGTATTTATTTTGGGGTGTTGCTGCCTATGGTGTGTTCATTCTATTGTGTGTGTATGCATGTGTGAGATATGAGAGCCAGTGAGTGTAGAATAATAAAAATTGTGTGCTTTTTGAAGCTCTGTTTGTAATTTAGTTTTGACTTTAACTTAGTTTATGTTTATTGTCTTAAATTAGTTCTTATATTAAGTCCCAGCTTTACTAGGTGCTATGTGTCTGCAAATAGTTTCACCTCTCAGAACCTCAGTTTCTCCATCTTTAAAATGGGCCAAACACTCCCTAACACACAGGATTAGAAACAATGTTTGTGTAAAGTATGTAGCAAAGTGTTTGGCTGCATGGTACCGATGATTATTATTTGTATTTGCATATATGTACCCACAGTGTGCTTTCTGACTGGGGGCACCTGGGCATTTGATGTGGGTGATTACTGGCTGGCATGTAGGTCTTTGGACATCTTTGTGCCAAGTTTTGTGTGTGTGTGTGTGTGTGTGTGTGTGTGTGTGTGTGTGTGTGTGTGTGACTGTTCGGGTCTGGTTTGGGGTTTGTGCAGTATTTGGGCGAATCGGGTCTGGGTTGGGGTTTGTGCAGTATTTGGGAGAAACTTTTTTTTGCCAAGTGGGGGCCTGCCTCGGAGTGAGGGAAGGTGTGCGTGTGTGTGTGTGTGTGTGTGTGTGTGTGTGTATCTTGGGCTGGGAGTTGGGCTGCTGATTGTACAGGGTGTGAAATCACTGAGTTCCTCTGGGCGGGGGAAGTTCTTCGTTCCTGAGTCAGCCCTTTGGCCTTGAGCCACCCAGCACTCACTTTTTCCTTTCAGAGAAAGTATTGCTCAGGGGGCCCTGGAGCTGTCTGTAGACAAAATGACACAGGGGGCACTTCTCCCCGATGAAAACTTCTGCCTTTTGTTCTCATTCTCTAAGATGCTTCCCTGCCCCCGTCCCAAGCCCTTTCCAGAACCTTCCTGGGCCCCAGCATTCAGAGTGAATGTGCCTACTGGCTTTGGGGCCTGCTGGCTTTGGTCCAGAACTTCCAGGTCCTTGGGAAGCTAGCAAGATGCCAGAGGCAAATTTTGGACTGGGCGACTTAACCCCCAAGACCTCCTGCCCAATCTTACGATCTGCTGCCTGGCCCTGAAGCAGGGTGTTGGGATGGGTCCTTTAGTCCTTTTGCCTGTCTGTCACCTCGCTCTATCGCAGGGTACTGAGAGGAGGTTTTAGGATCCAGGGAATGGAAGCCCTTACTCCTCTCCTCAGGAGAATAGATGATGTCCCTGCTTCCCACTGACATCTGCTCTTTCTCTTGCAGAGGTTGTGGGACACACGCAGGGGCCGCTGGATGGGAGCCTGTATGCCAAGGTGAAGAAGAAGGACTCCCTGAATGGCAGCACGGGGGCTGTCAATGCCACACGTCCTGCTCTGTCGGCCACTCCCAACCACGTGGAACACACCCTGTCCGTGAGCAGTGACTCTGGCAACTCCACAGCCTCCACCAAGACAGACAAGACTGATGAGCCTGCCCCCGGCCCCTCCAGTGCCCCCGTTGCCCTGAGTCCTGAGGAGAAGCGCGAGCTGGACCGCCTGCTCAGTGGCTTCGGCTTAGAACGAGAGAAGCCAGGCAATATGTACCACACCCAACACCTCCGGTCCCGCCTGGCGGGGGGCCCTGCTGTGCCCTCTGCCAGCCGTCATGTTGTCCCAGCCCAGGTTCACGTCAACGGTGGGGCCTTGGCATCTGAGCGGGAGACAGACATTCTGGACGATGAACTGCCCAACCAGGACGGGCACAGCGTGGGCAGCATGGGCACATTGTCTTCCCTGGATGGGATCACCAACACCAGTGAGGGGGGCTACCCAGAGGCGCTGTCCCCCTTGACCAATGGCCTGGACAAGCCCTACGCCGTGGAACCTATGGTGAATGGTGGGGGCTACCCCTATGAGTCTGCCAGCCGGGCAGTGCCTGCCCATGCGGGCCACCTGGCCCCCATGCGACCCTCCTACTCTGCACAGGAGGGTTTAGCTGGCTACCAGCGGGAGGGCCCCCACCCCGCCTGGTCACAGCAAGTGACCACCTCCCACTATGGTCATGACCCCAGCAGTATGTTCCGCTCTCAGTCCTTCCCGGACACTGAGCCCCAGCTGCCCCCAGCTCCAGCCCGGGGGGGAAGCAGTCGGGAGGCTGTGCAGAGGGGCCTCAATTCCTGGCAGCAACAGCAGCAGCAGCAGCAGCAGCAGCAGCAGCAGCAGCAGCAGCCTCACCCGCCTCCTCGTCAGCAGGAAAGAGCCCACTTGGAGAGTGTCCGGCCCAGCAGGCCCGGCCCCCAGCCATTGGCAGAGACACCCACGCCTGGCCTCCCTGAGTTCCCGAGGGCAGCCTCCCAGCAGGAGATCGAGCAGTCCATTGAAGCCCTCAACATGCTGATGCTGGACCTAGAGCCATCCTCGGCTGCCGCCCCGCTGCACAAATCCCAGAGTGTCCCTGGGGCCTGGCCTGGGGCCTCCCCGCTCTCCTCTCAGCCTCTTTCCGGCTCCTCCTACCAGACCCATCCACTGACCCAGTCCAGATCTGGCTACATCCCCAGTGGGCATTCCTTGGGAACCCCTGAGCCAGCCCCACGAGCCTCCCTGGAGTCCATCCCTCAGGGCAGGTCTTACTCACCTTATGATTATCAGGCATGCCTGGCTGGGCCCAACCAGAGTTACCGTCCAAAGAGCCCAGCTTCCTCCTCTTCCTTGCCTGCTTTCCTTCCAACCAACCACAGCCCTCCAGGGCCTCAGCAGCCCCCCACCTCTCTCCCTGGCCTCGCTGCTCAGCCTCAGCTCCCACCAAAGGAGGTGACTTCAGACCCATCCCGAACTCCGGAGGAGGAGCCCTTGAACCTGGAGGGACTGGTGGCCCACCGGGTAGCAGGTAAGAGCCTCAGGGACCATCTGTGCTGGTATCCCCTCTTTATTCCCTCCATATCTTCCCTGTTTGGTCTAGCTGGGGGAAGGTACAGGCAGAGCCATCACACCTCAGCAGACACTGGTTTAGCCTGGAGAAGAGGCTGGCAGGAGCCCACACTAGTCATCCCTTCCTGCATTCATTGTCTGTTAGGCTCCAAAGCAGGCATTGAGATGGAAAGATCAATGTCTTTCAGTTCCTGTCCTCAAGGAACTTACAGTCTAGTGAGGGACAGGTAATTCTAACAGAGTGCAATGTGTGCTGCAATAGAGGTGGAGACCAAAGCCCTAGAGCCTGGAGAAAGCAAGGCTTATTGGCTAGGACAGTGATGGCGAACCTTTTGAGCTCGGTGTATCAGCATTTTGAAAAACCCTAACTTAACTCTGGTGCCGTGTCACATATAGAAATTTTTTGATATTTGCAACCACAGTAAAACAAAGACTTATATTTTTGATATTTATTTTATATATTTAAATGCCATTTAACAAAGAAAAATCAACCAAAAAATGAGTTTGCGTGTCACCTCTGACATGCGTGTCATAGGTTCGCCATCACTGGGCTAGGACAATCAGGGGAGCTTCCTGGAGGTAGCGACTTTGGGGCTGGAGTACATATCTTCCAAGGAGAGAGGAAATGCCCTCTGTAACTGCCTGTAGTGCTCTCTGTACTCAGACTTCAGTTTCTTAGGGAAGGCATAGAGAATGCTAGAGGGAGGTCTCTATAGACCCAAATTCCCTCTTGGGCATAACAAAACCTGAGAGGTTATCCTGACGCCCTTGCGCTCTGAGTGTCCAACCCTGGTGGGTCCTTTCAGGATATTTCTCTGTTTCGGATGAGGCCCATGTCCCTCTTCTGGTCCAGTTGTCCTGTTGGTCCTCGCTTTAGGACCAGCTTTGTATGGGAAGCAGATGCTGAGAAACAAAGCTTCATTTCCTATCAGAACGTGAATGGGCTTATCTTTCTGGAGAGAGGAGAGAGTGGAGCAATAGGAAGAGCTTATTGGAGAGATAAAGACAAGAAATGGCAGTCTGTTCGGGCCATATTGTGGGGGGGCCAGGAAGGGTCCCCTTCTTTTCCACTGGCCTAAGCCTATGACCATTCATGGGGGCATTCAAACCGGGTGGGGAATCCTATGGCTTGATTTTGTTATGTAGCTAAAGCCCAGGCAGGTGTGAACCAGAGACTGAGGCTGGGGGGCAGGGGGCTTGTGCCAAGTTCCTCAGCTGATAGAGTGGTGGGAGCTCAGGGAGGAGAAGAGCAATCTGGGCAGCTGACTCTGCCCTGCACCCCTTTTTCCTAAATTTATGGGAAGCTGAGTCACCATGCCAGCTGCAAGGAGAGGGAGACACCCTTGCTGGGGATGGATGGTGGGTTTGGGGAAGTAGGCCAGCCGGCTATTGGACTGGGCCCAGGACCTGGGTGTGGGGGCATGGACACCCAGAGCAGAGCACAGTCCCCAGCTCAACTGTCCATGACTTGGAAGAAGTTACACCATTGAAACTGGCAATTAGGGCTCTCCCCTGGAGAGCTAGTCTAGCAGCACATCATTGCTTTTACCCAAGAGTCAAAACACAGGATAAGTAGCTCTGTAACCCTAGCAGTGAAAGAAAGACTCCATGGGAGTGGTCCAGACTTTTTCTCCTGGTTTTCTGAAGGGAGGGGAATGGAGCCCTCTCAATATTTTACAGAATTGGGGTAGTGGCCTGAGGAATAGTGGCACTCTAGCCTAATGAAGGGTAGGATCCAGGGGACTTTTCTCTGGGGAACAAGATGAATTACCTCCCCCTAACAAAACCCTTCTGTATAGCTCTCCTGGAGCTAGCTCAAGAGGAAGGCATACCTGAATGTTTCAGGAAGGATACCCATCTTGTAGTGCATCCCCCCTCAGCCTTTTCTCTCCTACTAGTTTCTGAGGTCTTGGCGTTCAGCCTCCGTATCTCGTAGCTGCTCGGTCTTTGGCTGCCAAGAAGTCATAGGAAAGGGGCGATATTATTGGCACATCTCTGCTCCCATTTCTTCCACCAACTGTGTATGACTCAGGAGAAGGGATGAGATGCATAGAGGGGCAGTTATACCTGGTTTCCAGGCCTGTAAAGGGGTCTCTCTGGTCCATGCCCATCATGAACAGTGTTTTTTATGTCAGCAGATCCTTAGTAACCCTTCAGGATGTCTGCCATGCAAGTGTAGATAAAGGCACATAAGCAGGATCAATGTGCAGAATAGTCTAGAAGCTAGGGAGGATAAATTTCCATCACCTCTTTCTGCTCATTCTAATTCCACAAGAAGCTGGAACATAAGCTTTAACATGAGTAACCCAGGAAGCTCAGATCTAAGGGAGAATGTCTTCATGGCCATGAACTTGATCTGGTTTCTCCTGGCTTTTCTCCCTCAGGTCTTCATTTTCCTACTTGGCTATCCTCCATGCTCTGTATCATGTCCCTGGTTCTTTCCACTTTGATCCAACAACTCCTTATGCTTTATTTCAGCTTAGATCTCAGAGAATAATGACGTAGTTTTTTTTTAACTTATTAAGGGGTAGGTACCAGAAACCTGTAGCACACATTACACTTTCTTGTGAAACATTAGAAATATTATCACAGCCAGGGACAAAGTAAGCATACCCATTATCACCACTATCATTTAACATTGTATTGGATGTCCTAGCCAGTGCAATAAGACAAGAAAAAGAAATAAGAGTCAGAGTTGGTGAGTCCAATCAAGTTATCTTATGATCCCAGTTCTGTGACTAGACTGATCTCAAATGTCTCTAGAGATAGAGATTTCAATGCATGTTGGGAGCAAGATGTGGATCTTATCCTTAAGGAGTCTAGAGTTTATTAAGAGGAAAAAAGAGCTGGAACTTTAAAGTCATTGGGAAGTATGGAGAAAGTTCTGTGGGATTGAGGAAATAGGAGATATCACTATCAGCGAGAGAGACTGGAGTGACTCTGTGTTGAGTGTGGGTTTTAAACAGAACCTTGGACAATGGGTAGGATTTTGGAAAGTGAATAGGGTCATTGGAGAAAGACGTTGCACAGTGAAGACAGAAAAACATAGGAGTCAAGAAAGGTAGCCTGGGTCCTGCCTCTGGTTGGTCTTAAAAGCCAGACTAAAGAGCTTGAAACTTACTTAGTGGCAGTGTAGGAAACTTTATTTTAATCGGGAGAGTATGCCATGATCTGAGATGTAGTTTAGGAAGCTGTAGTTTTGGAGACACTTTGAGTTGGGAGATGTAGGAGCATATTAGATAGCTTGGGTATGGGAACTGGATCAGGGTGCTGACCATGGAAATGAAAAAGAAGAGATGAATGCCAAGGATGCTGTGCAAGAAGTGGGTGTTTACAAATTGATTGGATGTAGTGGGTGAGGGAAAGGGAGACATCAAAGATGATTCTGCAGTTCCATGAATAGAAATAGAATGATAGTTCCATTAACAAGCCAGGAGTTAGGAGAAAGAGCAAGTTTAGTGTAAGATGAAGACTTCAGGGTAACAGTTTGAGGTGATGGTGGAGCCTGTAGGTAGAGATGTATGAAAGGCAATTGAATATACAGAATTGGAGTCTGAAAGAGCTATAGATTTGGAGCCATCCTCACAAAGGTGAAATGTAAATCTTTGGGCATGGATGATGTCTCTGTGTCACTGGGCATGCAGAGAAAAGAACGTAGGGTAAAACAGCCATGATGGAAATGGAGGCCATACAGTGGACTGAGAATGAATGTTCATGCTGGTGAGAGGAGATGCGGACTGTGGGTCATCACAGAAGTCAGGATAGTAAAGGGTTTCCAGGAGGAGGAGCGGGGGGAAGGGCAGCAATGTCACTGTAGAGAGGTCATGAGAAGGAGGACTGAGAAAAATGCACTGGGCTTGCCAATTAGGTGGCCTCAGTGATTTTCAAAGGCATATTTTCAGTAGGGTGATGGTGATAGAAGCCAGACTGAGGGAAAGAGTGAGTGGGGAGGGAGTGTAGACAGCATGTTAACTACTCTTCTGAGTGGTTTTGTGATAAAAAGAGAGAAGATGGTAGCTAAAGAGGGTAGCAAGATATTTAGAACTTTTTGTACATATAGGAAAAGAGAGAATATGGAGGTTAGAGGGAGAAAAAAACAGATGAGAAAGAAAGAAATTGATAGGATAAGGTCTCTAAGAAAGTAAAAGGAGATAGGCTTAGGAGCCTAGGTGGATAATTTAGGCTCATCCAGGAGGTGAGGTACCTCTTCATGAAATAATGAGGGATAGATACAGACATAGGGAGCTTTGGGAGCTTGAATTGAGAACCCTCCATTCGATTATTCATCCAATATGAACCCCTAATCAGTGCTACATGCTATTCTAGGCTCTGGAAAAATGGTGGTAAACAAAGAAAAATCTTTTCCTTCATGGTGGAGTTGGACAATAAACAAATTAAGCAAAGACATATACAATATGTCAGATGGGTGATAAGTGCCGTGGAGATAAAGCAGCAAAGTGCCAGTGAGGGGTTGAGGGTGGGTGGGTGGTTGCACTTTCTATAGGATGGTTAGGGATGGCTTTTCTGGGTGGTGAGGGAACGTGCCAGGTGAACACCAAGTGCAAAGGAGTATACCTGCTATGGGGAGTGTAGTGGGACACGAAGTCAGAGAGGTCATGGGAATGAGGGCCAGCTTACATGGGCCTTGTAGGTGATCATATAAACTTTGGCTTTTGCTCATTTTGTTGTGAGGAGCCTTAGGAAGGATTTGGGCAGAAGAGTGATTTCATCTGACTTGTTCTAAAAGGATCAGTGTGGCCTGCATGGAAGGAAGAAGACCAGTTAGGAGGCTGCTGATTTGGATCAAGATGGTAGGCATATTTTTGAAGTGGAGTCATTAAAACTTATAGGTAGACCAGCAGTGGGATGTAAGAGCAAGAAATCAGGAGGTGAGATGCCTCTTCATGAAATAATGAAGGATAGATATAGATACAGGAAAGTCAAGGTTTTTGACCTTAGCAACTAGAGGATGGAGTTGTTCTTTTTTTTTAAAAAAAAAATATATTTTATTGATTTTTTACAGAGAGGAAGGGAGAGAGATAGAGAGTTAGAAACATCGATGAGGAAATATCGA